GGAATGAAAGGGCCGGAAATCTCCCTCCGCGCCCAAGAGGACTCGACACCGCTAGTAGCGCAGATGCAGCATGGAACCCGTGCCATACCCTACCCTTAAATGCCAGTAAAACCAGCAACCCGGGATAGCAACTCACATCTGCCAAAGCAAACTCGGGGGACAAAAGAGAGGGCGGCCGGATATCCGCCACAAAGCATACCTCCTTCAGCCACCACCCCCGGAATCCGAAAGGTGGCTTCCAGAGATACACCCGTCGCCCAAAAGACCCCCAAAGCTAACTCCGGGATACCGGAGAGGGATCGGGACATCCCTAGGCAATCCAGATTCCACGGCAAACTACGCCACCGCCAAGAAACCTAAACGGAATGGGTCGCCCCCCGGTGTCCTTTCCCCTACCTAGGAACTAGCGCGCCTGTGGGAGAAATCACGAAGGCTAAAAAGAGGAAGGGCAAAAGGGGGGTGGGAGGAGGAGGAGGAATGGAAAAAGGGGAGGATGGGGAGGATGGGATAGGGGAGGGGAGAATGGGGGTAGGTAATTGGTTCGGTCTAGGAAGAAGACCGACAGGGCTAATTCCTCAGACCAAGAGCCTCTTCACCACGCCAAGGAGCCCCCCTTGAAGAGGAATGGTAGGGGGAGGATGAGTAAAGATTGGAACTGTATTGGACTGTCCCAAAGGAGGGGGGGCGAAAGGGTGGAGGGAAACTGGAGAAGCGTGGCAGGGGACAGAAGAGACAGGAACCCTGGGAGGTGGCAGAAGAGGAAGAAACTTGGGAGGGAACAGGGGAGGAAGGTACATTACGAGGAGGAGGGTGAACCTCTGCACTTGTAACTGAGCCAGTGAGAGGGGAAGAACTAGGGACAGAGACAGGGAGGGTAAAATGAGGAGGTGGAAGATGGGTAGGAGGTGTTTACCGGACCTTTTTTTGACTTTTGAGAATTTAGAGGGACGATTGGGAAGAGGTGTGTACGAGGTTCGTCGATACTGAGGCTTGTAAGAGAGAACTCGAAGAAGCGAGATTAGACTGAGGCGTTGAAGTAGGGACGTCTGAGCCGAGGACAGCAAAAGGATTAGATACAGGAGTGATTATGGGAGAGGTAACCACAGAGGTGGGTGTAGAAGATGGGATACCCGAAGTGGGGGGGCGTTTTGAAACACGGGAATAAGAAACACGTGGGGTCTCCCTTGGAGGCGGAGATGAGAAACTGCCATGGCATAAGGGAGACCTTCTGTCTCTTTGAGGTAACGGATTTCCGCTCGTTTAAATAGACCTGACAACGGCGAGAGTACGAAAAGGGTGAGCCTATGACAGTTAAAGGGAAGAGGGAGATCGATTGCAGACGATTAGAATGGTCATCGGCACACGACTGGGCATTCGGCGAGATCTGCATATTCGCTGGGGGTGGCAATCGCCAGCAATTTTCACTGTTGTGGTGAAAGGGATCACCTTTCAACTTGTAAACGATGTTCCTGCTATTAAACTGAGGATGGGAGTTCCCCGGCTGTCAAAATTTTAACGGCACATTGCTAGGGTATCGTCTCCGCCACGGGCCGGAAGAACGTAAGTGGCTACCTTGAGGATTGGGAGATCTTGGGTTCCAGCTGTTCTAGAATTGTCGGTTGCCACATGTCTGGAATTTTGTTGAACTATGGTATGGGGCCCGAATAACGGAACCACTACAAGAATTGAGGGAATGATGTTTTCAAGGGTGACAGAACAGTATCTATATGGGAAAGACGAGAGAGCCCCGAGCCTGGGGAGCATTCTGTACGGTAATGATGCGCTACCGCTCTTAAGAGCATGAAAAGAAATATCTTTACCAACATGGGTAGGAGGATGCCTTGCCAATACTATGGTCAGAAAGATAGGCAGTAAGGAAGTTTTGGGCGTAAAATGAAGAATTTAGTCCTGTTCAGTCGAAACTGAGCTGGAAAAGGAGTGAAGGACGTGTCGATGTTTTGAGAACAGAAGGGGAAGGGGGAGAAAATTCATCAGCAGGTAAATTTTCGTTTCGTTTAGGGGGGGACCAGAGTTGGTCCGACGTGGAACGGGGCGGCGTTTAAAAAATTTCCGCACCGTAGAGGGAGAAGCCGGAAGCAAGTCAGAGGAGAGCGAAGGTCTGATAAATCGAAGGAGTCGTCGAGGGCCCCGTACCTGAACGGGTGAGGAAACAGCACCGGGAATAGGG